CAAGTAAGCTACATCGGAGACAAGCTTTTAATGACGTCAAGTTTATTCGAGTTCTTTCAAACGCGCAACTGACGTTTTGAGAATTCTACGGTGAACCGTACGCGCATAATTTCCACGCAGGTGACATTACCGTTGTGTTACCCGTTGCCACGTGTGTTGCTACGGCTGAGGGTAATAGAACAGATTGTTAACTGCGTCTAAACCAATCAGATTGTAGTATTTAACATGATAGTATAATAAAAAAACATTGGGTATCATCAATGAGAAACTTCAGCATTCTCTGAGAATAAACTCCAGAAAACATGTGTATAGAATCATAGTAGAAGACTAATCACAAGACATAAAATTGCATGTATATTGAAGCAGTTGTCTATGATGTCGTAAGCTTGGTATTTATATTATCATGAGTAATGGTTGTATAAAATGTTGAAATTTCAAAAGTCGTGCTTTTTATTATTTTTTTTTATTGATTTTTATAAAAAGTGATTTCAAACTTTCAAGAGTTCATTTGATTTTATTTAGATTACACATACAACTTATCCATTTACATGTATCTATAATTGACTATAACATAGAAATGCAGAAAAGATTTCCTGGAACGCGATTTCTTTACATATATGGCATATGGCAGACTATTTATCAAGGAAATGGTAAACGGTGTAAATGTTTTTAGACGACGTATTTCTCTAGATAATTTACGGTGTGTCTGTGATGTAGCACAGGAATTATATACATTAGCACAAAACGTTCGCCCAAAGCTTTGGCTCAGGGATCGATGGAGACCAGTAATTACCTTCTTCTGAAATTAAGAAAAAACGTGACATGAAACATAAGAGGATAAATAAGAGCTCATAAATTCGGTAAACTTCATCTTTGTGTTTTCACGCTGTGAAATAACTATCAACGGTAAAATATTTTCACATTTCAAACACCAAACTCTATAACTTAGAATTTACAAATCTGTGCTTACCTCTGTCTAGCATGTAATCAATTCTAAATTTCAAGTGTATTAGGCAGTAGATAATTTAAACAAAAACTCAGAGAAGAACCAAGAGAAAGAAGATCCATCTGTTCTTTCTTTAATTGATTTCAGTTTTTGAACTAAGAGGAGATATTCAACATATCCTAGCTCTATTGCATGGTTAAATACGTTTCATTGATGGGGCGTTTTGATTAGCTCAGCGTTATAATGTTCTAGGTAAAAAAGAAATTTCAATGGCTGATTGAATCTATGTTGTTTTACGTCCAATACTAGAATATTTCACTCATATAGAGACGTCATTATGAAGGGCTTCAAATGTTGACGAAATTTCAATGAAAATAAAAAAGAAATGCAACAAGATAACATCATGTTTCAACACACACCTAAATCACCTTAGAACTACTGTTATTTCTTTAAATGGCCTTTCTATAACTACTTGCTTTTAAGAATGCAAATTTCAGCACGTGCTATATTTTAAATTAAAAATACACTCGAGTGAGTGCAATATACTTTTGTTAATTTTGAAAATAATTAAAACGTGATTTTTGTGACATGAACACGCGTCAAAAACTTCAAAAATCAAATTCAAAACTATATTTAATAGAGATTACATTAACCAAAAGTCTTAACATCTGTAACGGTTCAATTAGCACTAGTTATTATTATTATTATTATTTTTCTTCAAAATTTTGCTCAGATCTTGTCATCAAGAAACCTTTTTAGGGAAGTTGCAATAAATTTTTGCGCGCACGTTCTGAAATTGTTGCTTGTTGCCGTAACTTTTACATTTTTATAAATATTTAGAAATATAGACATTAAATTTGCTGAAACTTTTGTGTGCACGTGCTGAACTGACTTTTAGTTCCTTTTTAATGACTGATATTATAAGGATATAGTAGTAGCATAGACAATATGACATGGTAAAATTTTTGTGATCATGGTCAACTTATCTACGAAATCCTTTGAAATTTTGCTTACCATGTTATAACACACACGTGCACAAACAATCAAATAAAACACAAGAAAAATGATTTGGAACATAGCACCTTTTATATATAAAATAAAAAATTAAACAATTTTGGAACATACTTCTACACCTATACAAATATACACTATTTCAGCTATAACTCCCGTTTTCATGTTTATGGATTTTTCATATTGCTCAGTACATTCAAATCAGTTCATACAACACAAGTTTTGAAAGTATATAAATTGTTTACATTACGATGCAAAAGCTGATACACAAACATATATATATATAATGAAGCTTACAGGGAATATGGCACCAAAAGGGAGATGGGGAGCGTTTGGGGAACATATATCAATTAGCACTAGTTCAAACTTTGTTTTACTGAAAAATTATTTGATAGAACTAAAGAAAAGCGCCACATAAACTGAAAACTCACGACTAAACTCAGAGCAAAAATAAAACATAGAGGCATTGCTTATCATCCCTTGTTATGTGAATTCCAGATTTTCTCGTAAGTGCCTGGGAGTAAAGAAGTGTGGCCCCAATATGGCGGCCAAAATTAGAAAAAAAAATATAAAGATCAAAATTTGACCAAAAAATAGCAGAAATATGAATGGTGTGAGCGTTGGTGGCCTAAGGAACTCTTGCTTTTAAGAATGCAAATTTCAGACTTATATTTTACCGAGTTTATATTTTGTTAATTTTAAAATAATCGTGATTTTTGTGACATTCAAAAACTTCAAAAATCATTCAAAAATATAGCACATTAACGTCTTAGAATTCTTTGTAACTTCAGCTCGGTCATCAAGAGGGAAGTTGCAATAAATTATTTTATGAAATTGTTTTGTCTAATATTTTTTAAAAAGCAAATCATTAAATTTGCTGAACTGTCAGTAACTGACTTTAGTTCCTTTTAGTGACTGATATTGTAAACGATACATACAGTTAAAATTTTTGTGATCATGGTCAACTTTTACGTGGCTTACCATGTTTCACACATGCACAAACAATCAAATAAAACACAAGAAAAATGAAAGCACCTTTTATATATAAAATAAAAAATTAAACAATTTTTACTCTCACCTATACAAATATACACTATTTCAATCGCATGTTTATGGATTTTTCATATTCAGTACATTGGGATCAGATTTCATACAACACAAGTTTTGGACCTACGTTTACTCAGATAAAAGCTATACACACATATATATATATAGTTAATTGGTGTTTTATATCAAAGCTGCCATATAAAACAAATTTATCACAAATAAATACTTCTTTCAGATTGTCCTTATAAATAACATAATTAACCATAGCATTGACAATACGTCTAAGACTAAATTCAAAGAACCAGGACTTTGGCCCCATGGTGAGCAAGATCCACCTACGGTTTACGTTAAGTATGGTGCATTATTTATCTTCATTTATCAATAACTGGTAAAAAAAAAGAACCCACATATTTTAACCCAAATAATCCTATTCGATCTTCAAAAAGCAAAAACAGTCTTTTTGATATCAAAAATTCCCCTTTTTTAATTGAAAATGTGATTTTTGAAAATTTAAAATACGTGGAAAACTGTATTGCCATTCAACAAATTTCGAATTCAATTTTAATATTCAATTTTCAACATCTTAATAAATATGTGGAGAAAGCTTGTACAATGGTGTGTAAGATAATTAAACCAATTAAAGCATATATTATAATAAAAACAATGTACAACTCCTATCAATGTATATATAAACTTTCAAAAGATTGGAATGTATAAATAAATAATAAAATAAGAGTAATATTTCTGAACAGACTGTACAGAGAAACAAACGTAGTTTTCCTTTATAACTATAAAAATTTACCCTTGTATTAACATACTGTATTTTCTAAGTTAAAAGACTAGAACTAAAATTTCAAATTATACAGATACGGAATGATTTGTGAAATACACTTTTCAATTATCGTGACATTCAAAAACTTCAAAAATCATTCAAAAATATAGCACATTAACGTCTTAGAATTCTTTGTAACTTCAGCTCGGTCATCAAGAGGGAAGTTGCAATAAATTATTTTATGAAATTGTTTTGTCTAATATTTTTTAAAAAGCAAATCATTAAATTTGCTGAACTGTCAGTAACTGACTTTAGTTCCTTTTAGTGACTGATATTGTAAACGATACATACAGTTAAAATTTTTGTGATCATGGTCAACTTTTACGTGGCTTACCATGTTTCACACATGCACAAACAATCAAATAAAACACAAGAAAAATGAAAGCACCTTTTATATATAAAATAAAAAATTAAACAATTTTTACTCTCACCTATACAAATATACACTATTTCAATCGCATGTTTATGGATTTTTCATATTCAGTACATTGGGATCAGATTTCATACAACACAAGTTTTGGACCTACGTTTACTCAGATAAAAGCTATACACACATATATATATATAGTTAATTGGTGTTTTATATCAAAGCTGCCATATAAAACAAATTTATCACAAATAAATACTTCTTTCAGATTGTCCTTATAAATAACATAATTAACCATAGCATTGACAATACGTCTAAGACTAAATTCAAAGAACCAGGACTTTGGCCCCATGGTGAGCAAGATCCACCTACGGTTTACGTTAAGTATGGTGCATTATTTATCTTCATTTATCAATAACTGGTAAAAAAAAAGAACCCACATATTTTAACCCAAATAATCCTATTCGATCTTCAAAAAGCAAAAACAGTCTTTTTGATATCAAAAATTCCCCTTTTTTAATTGAAAATGTGATTTTTGAAAATTTAAAATACGTGGAAAACTGTTTTAAAGTACCAACCCATTTTAATATTTTTATCATTAAAGTGTTAATATCACAATGCAACTTTCATCCTGTGTTGAAACAATTGTCTAAAAAATTGAATGTACATTTACATATCTGGAATATTTGATTTTTGGCAATTACTTTTAATTACTATAGAAAATAAAAAGATATTTCAATCATGTAAAAAAAAAATTACACAATGCACCATTTTCAACAAAAAATAAATTTTGAGTTTTATATCTCTTTTTTCAGGTATATGTTCGATTCCTTCTGGTGCTGATTGGTCGGGCTCGAAGTTTGGAATGTTACAGAAAAAGACTTTGTGTTCGGATCATATGTTTGGCTAGCTACTGTGGAGGGATCTATACTATTGGATGTAGTGAGTTGTTTACAAGATTTATAATTCTGAATTTTAGTTAAGTCCTCATCTGTGATATGACAGTCATAAGGGCTTTGGAAATAGGGCGCCTTTAGCTCCATCATTTTATCTAAACACATCGGAGCTACATTTCCAACACAAAATAGAAAATCTACCAGGCTTCTGTAAAATAAAGGCAAAATATGGACATCATATTGAGATTTGAGAATTATGCAAAATACGTTATATAGAAAACAACGCGATATTAAATTTAACTACTCTAAATCGCCCGCGAGAAATATTTGCTTATTTCACATCCGACTTTGAGTCGCTATTGTAACAAAGTAAATAATTGAAAATCACTGGAAAATCTGAGTTTAACAACTGTTAGTTGATAAAAGTTAGTTGAAACGACATTTCTTTATCTAATAATTTACCATAACATTTATGCTTCAATATACCTCATTACCAGCATATTGGATTTATATATCTCAGTTGATTCCATACGTAAGAGTATGCTCTTCCTATAAACAGTTTCCAAATCTTGGTAAATTATTGACAAGCAAGTTGATGAAACAAGAATGAATGTCAACAGTCTCTTTTTAAAGTCCTAATTTTGTGAGTTCTTTGGTCTATACAATGAACTTGTCAGCAAATACAATCTATTAAAAAGGCAAGTGCTAACTGACATTTTTAAACTAATTGTTATGATATTATTTTCACACTGAATTTCCAATTATGAGAAGGAGCACAGGACGGCTTACTCCTTGGTGACACCTGGACTGGGTTGCTCAAATTACTGGTTAAAGAACAAAGTACGGTATTGGTCGATATTCGCCGAACATTAAAATAAATTTATGTTTATCTGACTCAAAAGTTAAGAACTTTGTCTTTCTCACAATATATGACTTGCTTATATCTGATTAAGTGTAATACATCGCAAATAATGATAAAAAGTGGTGTTTAAGCGATGGTAACGTCCATTCCGACGTTCATTTTGCTAGACGACGCCATTGACGTACATGTCTTTCGTGCGTCATACAAAGATCCTATATGTATAAAACAGTAAAAATGATGTACGATTTTCTGTACAATAGAAATCAATCAATTCAAAGATATTTTAAGAATTTCTCTGCAATTAAGTTTACATTTGATCATTTGGGTCATAGCAGAGATAGCCCGGGGTAGGGATGACAGGATTTTATAAGAATTTATAATGCATATCGAATCATCCATCTGCCTGCATATATAGGACACAAAACAACCTCTCATGATTTCAAATTTTTCCAGGAGCCCGAATTACTTTTATTGCTTTCTCTCTTTCAATCTCAATATCTTATTAAATACACCGTTACATACCTATGTACGTTTGTATATCCTGTATATAATTTCGAGGTTATGGAAAACGGATAACAGACCTGCCTACCCTTTTCATTGCAAGGGTGTAATTTCAGTACATTTTTGATGGAATTTCAGATGTTAAAGCGTAATCAATAATTTTTGCCTATTTTGTTGTTTTTACTATAACACTTTATTTTCTTTCAAAGCAACCGAAATTGTACATTACTAATATAAACAATGCTGGCATAAACTTTTCTTTTTCGAATCATTTATTGGCAAATACTTGTTGTAAAAATCAAACTCAATTCAACCGAACACCCTTAATGAAGCATTTCGTGGACTTGTATCAAATAACTTAACTGAAGGCTTGCGTTTGCATGTTTACACAAATAGTACATAATAACATTGTATTTTATCTTTTTAACACAAACATTTCTCTTTCTTGTTCTAAGCAATGTGAAAACTAAATTAATTGAGCATAGAAATGGCTGTACTTATTGCAATATTATTTAATAGTTAATTAACTAAGTAGTGCCTTCTCGTCTTCTTTCGAATATTCGCCATGTTTGCATGTAACTATAAGGTACCGGTATATTACGTACGTTATCGAACCGGTCTTCTATTAATTACTTTTATTAGAACTTATTTCATTTCAGCAGGTCGTTCTATAACTCTAACTTTAGTCGTTCATAAAGGATTTTAAACAAAAATATCAGCAGCGTAAAATTAATGTAAGCGGCATAATACCGGGTAGTGTAAGCTGATGTCGAGTAAGAAAATTAAGGTCAATTTTGGAATTGATTTCAGAATATCTCAAGAAGTATACGGAATTGCAGAATGAACTTTGGTAGTAATTAAGATCATCGTTTATATATGAATAGATATGGATAGAAAGTAAAATTGTAAAGCATCTGATTTAAAAGAATTGTTTTTGGCGAAAGTAGGTACCCTATGAAAAGAGTTCCATACCTTTTTTTTTTCATAACACCTCAATTTTTTTTTCTAAGGGATCTAAAGGCCTGGGATTTCCCCCAAACTTTGCATGTACACTGAAGGTATTGAAGTTATATAAGGTACAAAAATGAAGAGTTTCGCTATTGTAGTTTTCACGCAATAAAACCCCAGTCGGCCCCCTTAAAACGTACCTATAATAATTATTATTTATTTTTAGCAGGAGAAGGTCACTCAGTAAGATCCTTTACAATGCCAAGGAATTAATCCTTGAAAGAGTCCATTTAAAACATTTCTGATGATGATAAAGACTTGAAAACCTATCATATCCCTTACAGTTTCGTTATCCCTGCCTAATATTGCTACAGAGCCACTTCAACTTGACTTATAAATGAATGTCTTTTTTTAGTATTCATTAACATTAATTTTTTGATTGCAATATCTATACTCCTTTGTTTCTTTTGTTATCCTCCAAAATTTACAACAAATAATAATTTGTTAGTCATAATTATCCACTGGTTAGGAGACTTATCCCACCTCTGTGGAATGGCTAACTTTAGCCAATATATAACCACTGGATAGCAAAGTTAACCAGTGGATAAATTTTGAGCAACAGAATTTAACCAATGGTTCAAAGTTAACCGCTGGATAAGAGATTTAACCGGAGGTTAACGATAAGCAATGTTTTGAGCAACTCAGTCCTGATCACCTGTGATGTTTACGAAGTCAGTTCTGCTCCTGCTGATTTGTACTTTTTTAATGGAATTCTGAGCTTGAATACTTTTTTTTCATTTATATACTAGGGTCATTCATTAATAATGCAACATGTTACCTAAAAATAAGGAAAGTACGCAATACATATTCTTAATAGTTCCAATGCCTCAAGACATTTCCTTTTGCCCTTTACAAATGTCTTATGTCTTTGTATCAATGAACAGAAAACTTTAGCATACTCATCTTAAGGAATGCCCCAAAGACACCGATGAATATCATTTCTCGTGACTTATATGACATTATATAATCTTCCTTTGATTGTTTTCATGTGTTTTTGGAATAAAAAGATCTCACAATGGATTAGATCTAGCTATTATGAGCGATGGAAAAGTTTTGTTTACTTTCTTTTCTTCAAAATCTTATTTATCTATTTAAGCTTAGATGCAAAGTTCTGCGTTGTAAGGAACAGAAAAAATACTCTGGTCATCGAAATTTTGACTACCATTGCAGGAAATCTGTTTTTAACTTTACTTGGTGTAATTCTAAGATAAAAGTAACCATAGCTAGTCCTTTATTTTGATGAATGTATTCGTTCTGATGGACCCCTCTAAATACAAAGACTATTAAAAAATTTTTGGAGCCCTTACTTCTCTTCATCATGATAAAATGAAACCTTTTCTTGATTCCAATTTTTTTTTGTTATTAATATTATTTTTCGGCTATAAAAATGTACATTTATGTTTTGTCATTTATCAAGCAAGTTTAAAAAATCTTTTATTTATTAAAAAAAATTGTTTTTAATTAGACCGTTTGCACATTTAGCACGTGTTTTCTCTGAGGCATTTGTGAGAAAATAGGGCACCTATCTGATAGAAATATTGCAATTTTTTTTTCCTTTTTTAGAATTCTATAAAATGCTCTGATGATTCTAAATGTTTAGTATCTTAACGATGTCTTTCCATTAGATTTAGCATTTTTAGGTATCATGTGGCACATAACATCAATATTTTTTTTGGTGTCCCCACAAATTTCAGTCAACCAGATTTACTGTTATATTTAAACTCCCTTTTTTCTTCTGAATTATGGAATCCATCCGAAAAGTATACAGCGTTAAAGATCATTCTTTTACATATGAAAATCATATCTTAAATAAGAGTTTTTCGGCAGTTTATGTAAAAAGCACAATTTTAACATACGCTGTTTTTTCATCTTCTTGTCAGAGATCATTTATAAACAGCTTTCTGCTCAGTGCAGTGACTATGCTTACTTTAAAAGTAAATTTCTTTGCGAAGACAACAGGAAAATTTATGGGGGTTTCTTTGTTTAGGACCTCTTTAATAGAACTTTTCAAATGTGAAAAAAATAAAATTGAATGTCTCAGTCTTTATTATGATTATTGAATATTGCATCACTTATTGAATGACCCTCATACTATTCATTTACAAATGACACTATATATTAATAAGAAATTTAGTTAATATCGTGAAATCAAAACAACTGTGAAATGACTAACATGAGAATTCGTATGAAATATCAAATTCGTTGAATTCAAGATTGTTCAGCAGACAGTTTTTAGAAATAGAAATTATATAATGACTTTATATTTCTACATATATATCTGCATATTACTTGATGAAACATAAGAAGATAAAGAACAGTATTCAAGATCAGAAGTCCATTGAACAATACAAAATACTAGCAGAGCAAACATGAACCTCCAAAACATCAGAGGTGGGATCAGGTACCATGAAGGAGTGAGCCTCTCTTGCCAACCGGTAACACCCGCCGTGTGCTCCTTGTCATGATCTGGGAATAACGGAAAAATCCGTTGTCAATCCAGTGTAGAAATAATAGGATAACAATGAGTCTAAAAAAAGTCAGTCAGCATTAGACTCAATGATAAATTGTATTTGCTGACAAGGTTATTGTATCGACCATAGAACTTACGAAATGGTGACTTTAAACGAGACTGCCGATATGCTTTGTTTCACCAACATTTGGTCAATGATTTACCTCGTTTTAGAAATTGTTCATACGTAGAGCAAGCTCTTGCTCATCGAATCAACTGAGATATATAAGCTCCGTATGCAGGTGATGAAGGTATATTGCTGCATAAGTAAGGGAAGTTGACAATTGTAAAGTTTAAGTCATTAATCTCAAAAGATTTCATAGATAATGTCAATGAAAAACTCCAGCACATTTAAGTGAAGATCTTTCAAAGATCTTTCAATCTTAGGTCTTCAGTGATTTTAAGCTAGATTTTTGCAAAATGTATGTGATGAAATAAAAGTCATATATTAAAAATCCTGTTAAAAAAATACTAGGTTGCCAATCAAACCAACATATTGTGTAATGCACATTACAACAGACCAAACTGAGTACATATTATGTAATTGCAACATACATAATACACCGAAGGGACCCCGTGCATATTTTTAATATCAACATGGGAGTACTTGTTTGTAGAATTAGATTTTTAAAAAGAATTTATCATATTGTATTCCAGTGTTCTTACCGACATAATTCTGTGCTTTGTTCAAAGTTGTCATATTTCGTTATCTTTGTTTCGTATTCGTTACATCCTTTTTGCATGTCAAAGAACTTTTCTTCACAAGTCCCAGTGCAAGCATTTGCATCTGCAATGGAATAAATAAATCTTTATTATTTCTGTGGAAAGTTCACAATACACTCAATGTTAATAATTGTTTATGCTATTGATTTACACAAAATAACATACTTTCCGGTATTATTGTCAAAATTTTGGACTACACTTCGCCTGTATCTAAAGATATAATCATTTCATAGAACTAGATAAATAAAAAATAAATAAAAAAGATCTCAAGAAAGACTAAAGGAAATCAATGTCTCCATCTGTTTATATCTACAGGATTTGAGGCCAATAGAAGTGTAGGGAATCTGAGTTTACATCAAAGTAAACTAAATTAATTTTATCGTGTGTGAATACAAGTGTTTGCAAATTGTGTCAGTAATAATCTGTATTGTAAGTAATAAACGTATCGTTATAGACAGATTTAACTCTTAGATGTGGTTTAAAGACACAAAAATCAGCACACATAGTGTGATATATTATATAAACTTAATCCAAAATGTTCCAGAGGGAAAGGTACAGATGTTCGGCTGAAAGGCCGTATACATATACAAAATTATGTGTTCTGTTATTATAATAGTACGCGAAATTAGTACAGCTACTTATCAATACATATACACAGCAAAACTCGGTTATAACGAAATCACTGGGACCTATGAAAATACTTTGTTATATTCGTAATTCTTTATAACCGTTTCAGAAATTCATTAAATTTATATAGCTGGGCATCCAAGATGACTTCGCCATATTATCCGTAAATTCACAATATCCGTGTTCGTCCTAAACGAGTTTTGTATATTGTCTTTTTTGATACATTGCTCCACAATCCCAAGTCTTGTTTCAAGAAAAAATGACAAACAAAAGTTGAAGAAATTATCATTTCTTTTACCTATAAGTTGTTTTAAAAAAAATATAAAGCAGAATTTGTCAAATCTTATGCGTGAAAAGAAGAAAACACTTGATGTGGCCTTCAACTCGACTTTCAGATATATCGACGACGTATTGTCAATTAACATTGGTAATTTTCATTTTTATGTCGATACGATATATCCTGGAGAGCTTGAGATAAAAGAAACCACAGAGTCTGACACATCTGTTTATATTTGAATATTTCACTTGAGAAAGACGTTAATTGTAATCTTACAACCAAGCTCTATGATAAACGTGATGACTTTAACTTTTCAATCGTCAACCTCTTTTGCTTATGCAGCAATACACCTTCATCACCTGCATAAATAGTTTACATATCTCAGTTGATATGCAAGAGCATGTTCTGTGTATGAACAATTTCTAAAACGAGGTAAATTATTGACAAAAAATGATGAAACAAGAATTTCAGCAGTCTCGTTTAATGTCATCATTTCGTAAGTTCTATGGTCGATACAATGACCTTGTCAGCAAATTCAATTTATTATTGAGTCAAATGCTGACTGGCGTTTTCATACTAATTTTAAGTCCATTACTTATACACTGAATTGAGGACGGATTTCCCCGTTATTTCCTGATCATGACAAAGAGCAGACGGCGGGTGTGACCTGTCGGCAGGGCCGGGATGCTCATTCCTCTATGGCACCTGATCCCAAATCTGATGGTTTGGAGGTCCGTGTTTCCTCTGCTCCTATTTTGTATTGTTTTATGGATTTTTGATCTTGAATACTGTTCGTTATCTCCATATGTTTCTTTTTTCATGAAATCAATTACATGAATCACAGGCAATGTATGCCGATGTATTTTTCTGCTTTTTTAAAGTACCATTGCAGTATTTTATTTATTCTTCAAAAATATTAATTTAATTTCAGTTGTAACACGTCATTTGATTGGGTAAAAGATTTAATCCATTTCGTATAACATAACTTGCCTACGTCACAATGAGTTACGTCAAAAACGTATCACTCCGCTTGACATTAATTTCTCGCATAATCACCAGTGTAAGATTGACTTGTCAGGTGTGAGACAGCAGTGTGAGATTTTTCTGTCTTACACTGTGTATTACTACGCCACGAACGAGAACGTAAACATTCCGTCATTATATAAAGAAATTATAACAATGTAAAAAAAATATAACACATAATTAAACTGTTGTCATTTAACTTATTAATATAAACTTATTTTCATTCAAAATATTGTCGTATTTTCACTTTTTTAATGGCACTATTTTTAGATCGCGGAATGATTCTTCTTTTACGCTGTCGGATAGATAAGTTTTTTATTCCCAGTTTTTATCTTTCTGATTAATTTACACGGACTGAAAATTATTTTATAAGTTTACACTACGTGTAAACCATTTTCAGGTACGTTCTCTCCGATGGTGTATTCAGATTTTTAATTAGATGGAAAATTAAAAAAATTTTTTTAGCCCCATCATGGCGACGTCATTGACAGGCCGTTATTTTGGATAAAATAATGCGAGAAAAATAATCATTCATAACCTACTCGTGTTGGATAGTAAAATTGCACCTCGGGACCAAGATTCACGGTCTAGAACTCGCAAAGCCTCGTCCTAGACCGTGAATCTTGTCCCCTCGGTGAAATTTCACTATCCCTCACTCGTAGTAATGAATGATTCTATTATTATCCGATATAACAAAACTTGGGGCAGTTTACGCTTATTTATAAACCGCTTCGCGGTTTATAAAGCGTAAACTGCCCCAAGTTATGTTATATCGGATAACATAAGTTGAAATAAGCTTCATTCCTTAAATAATTAAATAATAACATTAGAAAATAAATTCATTTTTTTTTTACATGCGTTGACTATAAATGAAATTTGATTTTTGTCACCAATCTCAAATTTTAAAACAAATCATATGTTACGGATTTTCCCCATGACTAAAATTACCCACAGATTGGATCACCCCAATTATGCCCTGAATATTTAATCTACGTATCGTAATTTTATTTGTAGATATCATGGGAATATTACCAATCATCGTATGTTATTAATGTATGCTTTATAATTCATTGTATATGTTTATTTCATGAATATCATTTCGTTGTATTGTACAAACCCGAATTTCCTCCACAGATCGTAATAACTTATGGCCGTCTGGCATTGTTATTCAATCAAGGTACCCAAATCCAACTTGGCATCGTTACCAAAACAATTCCCAAACAACAAATCATCCCTTTTCCCGCATTTGTAATGCTAAAGCCTTTACTTGATGCAAAAGTTATGAGTGTTACCATACAAACGTCGCGCGAATACTGGCGGTACCGCTTGTTATTCGCACGTGAACTAATTCGCACCGGAATACCAAAAGGTATATAAAGAAGGCACTTTAGACTTTTTCTTCAGTCTGGGGGGTTGGTCAGCCCCTTTAACATCTGACCAACTCAGAGTCCCAACTGAGGCCCTCACATTGGGTAAATTTATCCAATATCCAATATTGGGTAACCCAATCTACCCAATTATTATATATCCTGACCCAACTTAAATCAGCTGAACGTACTATCCCATTGTTGATATTGAGGAACCCAATCAGCTGATTATTATATATCCTGACTCAACTTAATTCAGCTGAACGTACTATCCCATTGTTGATATTGAGGAACCCAATCAGCTGACTATTATATATCCTGACCCAACCTGAATCAGCTGAACGTACTATCCCATTGTTGATATTGAGGAACCCAATCAGCTGACTATTATATATCCTGTCCCATTATCCATAAGTATACTCTGTTTGTATTTAATTCATCATAAATCATTATTGTTATTGTTTGAATAAATTCATTTTTATAGATAAACAAATCTTGTTGATTAATTAAGGTATATCACAGGAATAAGAGGACTCACATAATTTTTGTAACACCCAAGATCGGGTTACGTTACACATATCCAAATCAAATATTCTCAGAGCATCTGTCACAGAGGCGACCACGAGGTCAACAGGTTCACCTGAGGTCACATTCCCCAAAGGCATAAATGGCATGAGACGCGCAATAATAGGTTACTCTCGATACCAATATATTCCATTTAGTTCTCAAAGATCTTATCATAGAACCTGCCGAATGATGCCCCTGCGGCAACCTGCAGACTGAAACAATACGGCGAGACGTGGAAGCATGGCTATTGATTCTGTGGTTGGGTGATAATAGGGTTATAATGTGGTAAATTTGTTTTATTTGGATTACAGAGAGTTGGAATAATTATACGACTTATTACAATCGGTTCAACTAACGTGTTAAAAATAAAATAAATTGTGATTTTTTTTAACATTCAGGTTTAAAGTGTTGAATAGATCTAAATACTAGAATATCTATACAACACAAATATTTTATTTTCCGCTCTCTTTAACAGACGGAAATAGAGCTCATTTACTGAAAAGAGCAAACAACTTCTTAACTTCTCATTAATAAAGAGATAAAATCATACATCATGCATGCTCATTAATCTAATGCATTTTGTCGTGTCCTCAGTGAAATTAAGAAGCATTATCAGGTAACAAATGTCAAACTGGCTATCCGTACATCGACTTCCTCTCAAGCTACATTGACTTTCTGTCAAGTTAAAACAGAGCAGATGCTTTTGTAGCTGTGGTAACTACTACTAGAAATAAAGCACATCGAGAATTTCAAAAATTCTACAATTACGAAATGAAAGATTTCATCGGCAAAAAATGAGAGAAATATCGTATTATGTAAAAGACACATCTTTGAACACAATTTTGTGGTGAAAAGATTCCTTCTGATTAAAAAAGAGATCATTGAAAGAATTTTTAATTAAAAAAAAAAAAACTTGTTACTGGCCACAAACAAATACAGGGGTTGTGCATTTAGTTTGTACTTCCCTAAAACCCCTATAGTTAACTGTATTTTACTATCGTAAATTATAGCGAATACATGTACTTTAAGTTTTTTTTCTAGAACTTTTTTGAGATTAAGTGCCTCAGTACAGCTCAAACATGAAATATTTCCATCTTTAAAATAAACAAAAAATGCATATAATAATAAATTATTAATAATTGGAGAAGAATACCATAACAATATGAAATTCATGGTAAAATATCGCTGCAGTTGCTTTAATTCTATAGTTTGTGAAAACAAAGAACAGTAGTCAAGCTTACATTGGAACTGTAGAAATCTGGAGGAAAGCTAACAAATATCTCTAAATACATAAGTGGTGGGATCAGATGCCATGGAGGTGTAAACATCTTTCGTCGACTGAGCATACCCGCCGTTACTCCTTGTTAGGATCAGGCAAATGGACGAATCCGTAGATAATAGTTTGAAAAAATAGTGACTTATTCTTCTAAACGTCGGTCAGCATTCGACCTAATGAAAGATTGAATTTGCGCCAAAGTCAAAATGATATAATTTTTCTTTACTGACACTTAATAATACCCTAATGTAGTATTATTTCTATGGATTTTGCCAAAGTAGTGTGAACTACAACAGCACAATATTGCTCATTCAATTATTAATTGGATGACTATAAAACGCCAATATACATCGATTTATAGTCATTTTCACATTTATTTCATGGGTTTTAGTACACCCTCACCAAAATAAAAAACAATCCCTACCATCCCACACACACGTAGAGTAAGTTCTAGTGATACGTTGTTTAAATACATATCTTTTTATATCTTTTTATTATAACAAATGCATTAAAAATGTTAAAAATTTCATTACTTTGCAATTTCTGTTTTCAAAAAAAAAAATGCCTCGTAAGGTACCTCAATTTTTGGTGAGGCTACTTTTAAGATTTTTTTTAATTAGCATTACTTCGATGACAAAATCTTTTGGGGTGGGGGGGGGGGTGAGGGGGGGTCGTCAGAACTGACATAGTTTTTCGTTTTCAGGAACTTAAAATCGCACCCCTGTCTCCTTAACATACAGAAGCCCATAAAGGATCCCTAAAGATATTTCTTAATTTGATAAAACACATTGTCAACTTGATTAAAAAGAATGTAATAAAATTGTTTAGTTTCAATATGACAGACTCCCCTTGTAACATGGTTTAAAAACACAACAAAGCATAACTTATTGAAGTACATAGAGATCCTGGCATGAACCTTACAGATAAGATAAACTATGCAGGTTCAATGAGGGATCGTTTTATAGTTCACCACATTCTTATAAATAAAGCTTTCCAGTGTACTTTTCCTTTTCCATTATCCAGAAAGTTTTCAAATTTATCGACATTCCATGTAAACGTCTGCCTAGATATCTATGGAAGAGTTGTTTGTCCAACAGAGAAATGCAGTTATGAAAAAAACCTTTCTTATAATTCTAATTTCATCTCATAAATTTCAAGTGTAAACAGAGAGCCTATTTTAACAAGAAAATACATTGATTCCTCTCTTGTGTGATCTTTGAAATTACACTATCGATGATTCAGTAATCTACAAGACCAGGTTTTGAAGAAGCGATTCTATACCGGTCATTTAGTGTTCCTGTGACGAAATTCTGAAATCATACTCTCAACCTCAATTATTAAATATCATGAAATCAACAATTTCAGGGAAAATGCATTTAATGTATAACCTTTGCATTTTAAAAATAAGCGAAAGTGTTTTGAATAAATAAGCTGGGCAGGCAGTACATATTGCTATTTAGTTTTAATTTTAAAACGTAAAAGTGGAACAACTTTAATGAGAAAAAAAGCGGGAAAATTCTATAAAGTAACAATTCGCCATGCATAACGTGGCCCTTGCACTGAGCAAGTAATAAATATGTATTGCGATTTTCTAAGTAAAGTGTCCTGTGACAATCGGCTAGGGATAAATGCAGGTTTGTATCTAAATTTTATTTGTTTCACTCAAACTTAGATTTTAAACATTCTGACAATAGTTTATGTTACAAAATTACAACAAACGTACATGCATTTATTTGACCCCATCAAACAAATACATGCAATGTTTTGCTATTTGTTAACGTGTAATAAATATCATGATTCAAACCTAAATATGACACTACATGCAACAGAAGTGATGAGTAACAGTGATACAATAGGTGACTTTTTCCAAAGGTATGCTTAGGATGTAAACGTTTACACCTTTAAGTTTTTGGTTAATATGAGTAATTAGAGAAGTTATTTTATCTTATATGTCTTGGTGGGCGATTTAAATATCTTTCAGCTGGATTACACAATCCTTTCTTTTCAATACAATAATCAGTTTTCTTCTGCATGTGCTAATTCACTGGAAATTCCTTGGAGTTAAAAAAAAAATAAATCTGACAAACTTTTCTTTTACATATATATATAGTACATACATTGTAATTCGGCTCCAAATAATACAAACACAATTCATGATTTATCATCCGAATAAAAACACACTTAGACATTTTTCTTTGATAATTTATTTCAGTGAAAGACGATATATTCAGTTTAAAAGACATAAACTGACATGCGTTGAAAATATATACAAAGATAAACATGCAGGGTTAAACAAGAAGTGAACCATTATTCGTTTTTTAACTTTCAGGTGCGTTCAGAACACCGGGTTTGATCGGTTGATACATTAAATCGTCTTGGAATCGTTTATTCTTTCTGTAAAGAGAACCGATTTGCAGACTTTGCAAGAAAACAAATGTGCTATCTGCAGATCATAAAGTGACATTAGGCACATACAAAGCGATCAAGTTTCTAGAGCAGATGAATTGATTACACAAAGTTGGAAAGCACTTATTATTGCAAGTCTGGCAACCCTTAGATGATATTATGATATAGAAAATATTCCACTGTTAGAGTAAAAGACAATAGATTCAATATCATGCAACAACGAGGAATACAGCGAAAATTTGTAAGCAATGCTGACGATGAGCATGCACATATGCTCAGTAGCATCAACCAACTCATTATTGATTTCCTTGATTCTTTGACAGACCCAGACTGTCTGGTATTAATGAATGGACATAATACATTAATGATTTGTTTATTAAAGATTGCATCGCGGTCAACAAGTGCGAATATATGAAGCAAAACGTCTAAAAATATGAATGATATTGAAATGTCTTACCTGTTTTGGATAAATGACAGGTGAGCACCAGCATCTTTACGAACACAGATATATTAAGTATATAATCCAGAAGTGGACATCCTTTGCATATAAGTTTCATGCTGTTTCCTGAATTAAACGCCAAATATGGTCCGTCAAAGGTAAGGGATCGCTACCGTTTCATCACATGCACCTACAATGTATACATTTAAATGACACACGACGCCGAAAAACACCTTCATGTACAAAACAAATATTTTTATCAGTGTTTAAACATGAGTCAACTAATCATGGGTTCCACTGATGAAGGGACGTTAAAGAAAAAGACCACGACAAGAACTTGGCAAAAGGCGAGCCATAGGTGTTATTTTCTGTGATGGAGTTTAAGCGCTTGTCCCTTTCCTGTTGGTGTAGGAAATCCGAAGGACAAAAATCGAACGATGCTATCACTGCACTGCTGACAACGCATTGGAGATCTCTGAGCTGTTCCTAATTACAGCGATCTATTTCTTTCCTTAGTTCCTCACAATTGAAATCTCATTATATTTTAAAACATCGGGAGAGGGCATCTATAACTCGGTGGTCGGGTTTTTGAGTAGACTAAGAAATGCAAGACGATATATATTTTTATTTTTACTTTTATCTTGGATTCTGAGCAACTGCTAGGAGTGAAAAGAACTAAATTGTATATTTATCTGGATGTGATCAGAAAATTATGGTCTCAGCTCCTAGATTTCGTGATGTTGTCATAAATTATTACGATTCTAGGCTAAGTGGAACATTGTAACAACATGCTTCATATTAAACATAAACCCATAAAAATGATAAAAAGTTACTGCTATGTACCGAATTCACACAGTACCCTATTTCTTGTTGAGTTCACTTATATCACTCTTTATGAATTTATGAATATGAATTTAAAGAGCTTGATATTAAAATTATTTTTTTCTTTCAATAATGGTTTTGATATCAGAAGGTTATACAAGAAATCCCCATGCTTTATTATCACCACAGTCAGACAAATATAGAACACGAGAAATATCCAAATGTTCTAGCATATGCGAACTGTGAACATTCGACGCTTTATGAAAGAGTTGTTTAAATAAACTATTACGCAATTCATGAGTACATGATGTTATTTTGCCGAAGAGACAGAGGTAGTATTACGGTAAGAAAAAATTCCGTCTACTTGATCAGTACAAAGTAGACAAACTAGGGCTCACAGTGGGTATTACACGGGATGCTTACTTTTACAAAGCACTTGAACCCACCTCTGTAATTAAATTTCAGGGTGTCTGTGTGTAATCCATGTTTACAGATTTGTATTTTTAAAAATATCCTATAAGATTAAAATATCTTTATAAAAAGTCAATCTTCGCCCTTTTCACAGTGTTGCAATAGACTGACATTAGAGCTCTGTGAACTATAAAGATAAGGAGCAGTATTCAAACGCAAAGTACTTTTAAACCATTCAGCTAGAGAGCAAAGCATAAACATCAGAGGTGGGATCAGGCGCCATGGAGGAGTGAGCTTTCCATGCCACTGTGTGATCCTTGTCATGATCGGGATAAACGGGAAAATCCGTAGACAATTCACTGTGTAAATAATGACCTAAAAATAAGGATGACAAACGTCAGTCAGCATTTAACTTAACGATAGGTAATATTTGCGTACGAGATTGTATCGACCACAAAATTTGCATAATTATGTCTTCAAACGAGACTGTCGATACTGTAAATTCCAACTTACCATTGGAAGACCCGGATCTCCAAAAACTACATATTGTCAATCAGAAACTCAAGCATCTTTTTTATCTTAACTTCAGAGTACTTGTGTGTACAGTTAGAATGTTCTTTGGTAAAAATTATTTTGCAAATGACCAATGAAAAGGTAAATAAATTTACGAGTTCAAGTTTTATTGAAAACGTAGATTTCAATGATATTACAAAAAAGCCTGGACTTATCGTGGGGAATGGTTGTGTCCAAAGTTGAAAATTGTTTCCTTGCTGTTGATTTTGGTAAAATCTTGTGATTTCAAATTTTCTTAAAGTTCCTTGAAATTTTAAGTATCCACATCTGATTTACACCACTTCTCGAATATACTGTTGCACATTACTCCTGAAGTTTTCCCTTAACTACTGTTAATATTGTAGTGAGGATTTATTGTTTTATTGAAAACGTAGATTTCAATGATATTACAAAAAAGCCTGGACTTATCGTGGGGAATGGTTGTGTCCAAAGTTGAAAATTGTTTCCTTGCTGTTGATTTTGGTAAAATCTTGTGATTTCAAATTTTCTTAAAGTTCCTTGAAATTTTAAGTATCCACATCTGATTTACACCACTTCTCGAATATACTGTTGCACATTACTCCTGAAGTTTTCCCTTAACTACTGTTAATATTGTAGTGAGGAGTAAAGAAAGAGGCTTGGTAGAACATTTGCTGGAACCTGCTATGTATCTTTGATTGTAGGGGATTTTTATGAAGTTTTGGAATCCAGTATATATATGGTAATTCAAATTCATAGTGGTTGATAAGAATATTAAAAACACATTATAATTATTGTTTCTTTGAAGACATTGGTTTTAATAATTCTACGTCTGAAAATCCAACTTACACTCACAGTTCCCTTTCTAAGGATGAATTTTTTTTCAGTGTTTAATACTTTAAACGTTAGCGTCAACGTGTTTTCAATCTATTACAACTATACTGGATTTTTATAAACTTCATAAAATCCCTGAAAACAGGGATACCTTACCGCTCTCTTAAGGGGGGACCTATGTCCGAAAAGTCTTTGTGTGAATTTTTCAAAACTTTGACATTTCTTTCCTGACCACTTGATCTTAATTTTTAGGTATTAAAAACAATACCTTTATATGCTTATTTTTACACAGGAGCACGTGCAAAAACAGTGTGAAATGCTAAAAATAGATTATTTTCAGACATTATCTTTCTACTCCAAAAATGCGCTAAAAAGAACAAAAAATGTCAAATCACATTCGAAATCAACATGTATTTAATTTATATGACTTGTATCTTTGAAATGAAGGCAAATTCATTGTAATTCATCTCACATGAAAAATTATAAAGGAGCACAATGTAAGTATCACCCCGTTTTTCGTGTCGTATTTTTTACAATTCCGACATGCATAACAGGTAATATCTTAAAAAGTCTTTGTGTGAAAATGTTGTAATTCATATTTTTTTAATGAAATGACCCCTCTCTTTATTTTAACAAGGAAAAAAGTATACCTTTATGATATAATAAACGAGAAATATGACGTTTTCTTTTATTTTCGTACTCTTCTGTCATATATATTGACCTTTCTGCACTAAAAAAAAAGGTAAGTTAGCACTGACAAACATCTGAATATAAAACTATTTTGCAAAACCGAGTATTTTTTTTTTTTGATAAGAAATAATTTAAACAGATAAACTCTTTTCTTCTTCATTCTAATCATTCTGCCCCCCCCTTCCCCATGAACAACTAACACCTAATAGAACCTAAGAATGACTTTCTACAGTAAAATCTACATACACTATAAATCAATAAGTAATATAGGTACAAGTACATTTCTTAATTTTTTTCCTAGTTTTATCCAGAAAATACAATAAATGGTCATCATAAAATTAAACATATTTCCCTAATTTAAGCCGCTGTCTTTGCTGAATTTTATCTTATATTTTTTGCATTTATATATCAGCATATCATAGAGGTATTTCTTCACAACTGAAATTGCTATGAATTATCAACCAAAGGAAGAGAATTCTGATATTAACAAACTCCATAAATCATAAAACTGTTTTAAATGATGAAAAAATTTTCTTTTTGTAAACTGTGTACGTTTTTGATTAATAACAATGTTATGCCTATAATCACAGTTGCAAAAGTCAGCGGGAAAAAAAACAAACGTCGCTATTGTGACGTCACATAACGCTGCTTTGACGTCGAACGACATAGGTCCCCCCTTAATGCTCTACCAAGCTGTATCTTTTCTCCTTGCAAATATATTCTGTTATGAAATAGAGACTCCAGACTTTCAGTGATATAGCATATTCTTCAAGTGCAGCGCAAGTCAGTTGTGGATTCTCATCAAAACGTACGACTTTTCAACACTTTTTGCACATTCTTTACATTATTTCTCCCGATGAATTAAAAGCAAGGACTTATGTGTTCATAGATTACAGTTTTTTTTCCATAAAAATAGAAGTCGGATTTTTTTGTATGTTATAATTGACATCATCAAACAAAATTACCTTGTTTGAAACAATTATAATTGTACACAAAAGAAATCTGAAGTTGGTATTCAAAAAAAGCTGAAGTTTTTTCATTTACTGCATTTTTCTAGTTTTCGGGAGACCAGGTCTTGCAACAAACTGGAAATAGAATTCCAATAAGCACTACTTGTACGCCTTTTTATCCGACTGTTATAATATTGCTAATAATTTACTCAAAAACTTCCACATGAGTAGTAGAAAACACTTGTTGTTGCCTTAAACACGATACAGCTGTATTCAGATAAATAGGCGACATTTTTTTCAATTATCAATAGTTTACAATTTTAAAGGGTCATTTTCAAAAAAAGTCCATTTTTTGAATGACATATTTTTGAAAAATGAAAATGGTTTTACCATGATTTCTTCAACTTTATTTGAATAGTATAGTAATAAACTACTAAAATCCACTGCATTGCATAAAAGAAAATATTTCTTTTAAAAAATATTGATATTTTGTCTTAGTCATTTAAACTTTAATGTCCTTCCTGTAACTTTCATAAAAAGAGCTGTAAAACTCTATTTCAAAATTTTCATCAAATTATCTTTTGTATACCATTAATAAATGAAAAAAATTATCATTGAATGCCAAGATGTTTGACATTCATCTAATATATGAGCGTTTAAAAGCATGTCAAACTACCATAAACCAAACAGAAGCAAAATCTCCGGGTTTTTCTTCATGAAAAGCCTTATTGCGGAATGTTTATATGCTATTGTTTAAAAAAACATTCTTGTACATTTTTTTTGTGATAAGAATAAACAATTACAGAAAGTTATTTATACAGGTGCTCTGCCAAAGCAATTTAAACTAGGAAAATATACTGGTAACAGTAAGGACTCGGGTAACAGGAAGGACAAAACAGTAATAGGATGGACAAAACAGTGTAACAGGATGGACAATGAAATCTACATTTTA